GTGGGTCATTTGAGGAGAGTGGGGATGACAGAACTAGCAGTGAGGCATCAGTTTCTGGTCCCATATTAGAACACAGACAGACTCAGATGAAAACATTTTCTTCGGAGGTTGGTTCTATTGAATCTCATATGAAGAAAATTCAAGAACAAAAAAAGGTACTGAGAAATGACTCTAATTCTGAAGAAGGTGATGGAATAAAGATAGCTAAACCTGGAGAAATTAAAAGATCTATTGGCAAAGAGAGATGTGTATCCATTGAGGTACAGACAGAAGGAAGCCTAACAAGGAAACTCCGTGAACCTCACCGGACTATATCCATGGAGGGTAAAGTTTCAGAAGACACTGAAGATACAGTTGAAATGACAAGAAAGAAACAAATTCTAACCTCATCCAGTGTGGATCTTCCAACTCTGCAAGCTGCAGCGGACATGAAATCAGCAGCAGAAAGGGGAGAATGTTTGCTTGTAGAGTCTCTTACTCGTTCTTTGCAAGATATTCAGAAAGGACTTGCTTCAGTTGAAGAGCAAGTAAAGCTGCAATCTGAATCAGAACCTGGATCTGCAAAGTCAAGTATATCTGTGTTAGAAGCTCTAACGCAACCAATTCAGGACAGTTTAGCTTTAGTGGAGGGACACACAACTTCATTTACATTATCTGAAGAACATGCACCTGGTAAAATATTAGAAACAATTTCCCAGCCAATACAAGAATTTCAGAAAGGTTTAGCTTTGGTAGAGCAGCAAGTAGAAGTGGAGATGGGTGAAGAATCTTTGCTGGAGAGGACAAGTGTTTCAATACTAGAAAATGTGGCACATCCAGTACAAGAGCTGCAGCGGGATATTGCTCTCATTCAGCAGTTTACTGAAAGGCGACATGATACTTCTGTAGCTGTGGAGGAGGACGTTTCATACCAGACCGTCCAGTGTGCCCTGCAGATGATAACCCAGTCTCTTCATGAAGTTCAGAGGGGAATTCTGGTGCTTCAGCAGAGCATTATTTATGAAGATGCTGGAGAAACCACATCACAGATAGACAATGCTTCCATACTGGAGACCTTGAGTCATCCTTTGCACAAACTGAGACAAGGACTGGTGGAAATAGAACAACAAGCTGTGCTCAAGACTGCAGAAGAATCTATAGGTCACACCATAATAGAGGCAGTTGCACATCCTCTCCAGGAACTTCAAAACGTCTTAGAAATTGTTGAACAGCAAACACTTATGGAAATCAGCACTTTGCATGCGACAGATCTACCCAGTAAAACCGTACTACAGACCCTAGTTCAGCCAATTGATGAGTTACAAATGAGATTAACAGAAATAGGACAAGCATTTTCAATTGAAATAGAACCAACAGAACCACTTCCAAGAAGTATTTCTATGTTAAAAAAGCTTCAAACATGTTTTAAAAATTTACAGCATAGTGTTGAGTCCATATCTAAAATCGCCACTTCAGAAGTAATGTCGGATAAAGTGGTTGTTCATGATATGGCCAAACTAAACACTGTTGCATCATTGGCCAAGCCACTTGTGCAGTTGCAGATGTGTCTAACAAATATGGAGATATGTGAATTTAAATCAAAGGGGGAGCATCCATTAGCTACTCAAGAAAGAGCACAGTCCCTTGACAAACTGGTAGCACCATTATATGAATTCCAAAATCAGTTAACCAAAGTAGAAAAACAAATACTTTTAGGGCCAACTGAAAAATTGGCATCACAGAGTGCACATTTTATAACAGTTCAGTCTTTGTTGCAGCCTGTAAGATATTTGAAACAAAACATTGACGTCATAGGAGAAGCTATGATATCAGGAGCCAATGAAAGTAACTTTGCTGTTGTGGAAAATTTGGTGCAACCACTGCAACAATTTACAGAAACATTGATTAAAATTGAGCAGCAAGCAGTTCTGGAAGCAGCATCCAAACTAACAGAGGATTTCAGAAGTCTGTCAAATGTAAAAGTTCTAACCCATTCCATTCAGAACTTACAAGAGACATTCAAAAAGATTGACGATGAGAATACATTAGGAGGCCAAGAAGATCCAGGAGTAAAGGCAGTATCAATGATGACAGAATTGGCACAACCATTTTCCCAACTCAAGCAGGGATTAGTTGAAGCATTGCAGGCTACTTTGCTGGAAGAAAGTGAAGATTTATTATCTAAAAGTACTCATGCAGTATCTGTAGAATTGCTTGTACATCCCCTGGCAATATTGCAGAAAGTATTAGTTGAAACAGAGCAACAGCTTGTTCTTGCAATGAAGAAAGCTGAGATAGCAACAGTACAGTCAACTGAAATTTTACTACATCCAATCCAAGAACTGCAGAAGGGCATTATATCTGTTCAACAACATGTGACTGAATCAGCAGTTGACACTCCCAGTCTCTCAGTGTTTGAATCATTAGTTGAGCCTCTGCAGAGTTTACAGATGGCAGTTACAGTCGTGGCACCTAAACAATCAAGTCTTTTGATTCTAGAGAATATGGCAGAAACTGTGGAGGCTCTGCAGTGTGGAGTTTCTGCAATAGAAAAGCAAGTACTTTTGGAAGCAATTCAGGATTCAACAAGAGCTGGTGTTACAAAGCTAGAGACGCTCATAGGGCCCCTTAAGGAGTTACAAAAGGAATTGATCCTTGTAGAACAAAAGATCCAGTTTGAACCAGAAGAAGAGTTGGCTTCAGAAATATCCAGCATATCTGCACTGAGAAGTCTTGTGGTACCACTGCAGGAATTGCAGACAGGACTAATCCAAACTGAGCATTTTGCTATGAAACAGGATGCAAAGCCCACAGCAGTGAAGGCTGCAGAGATGTTAGTGGAACCTATTATGGAATTGCAGAGGGGTATCAATGTAATACAACAGCAAGCTATATTGCAAGCTGAGACAGCTGTAAGTAGGGGGTTTACCATATTGGAAACATTAGCTCAGCCTCTGCAGGAACTACAGCGAGGTCTAACAATAGTCGAAGAACAGAATGTTATTACTTTGGAAGAAGCTCCTATATTTCAGAAAGCTGCAAGTCTGGCAGCCTTGGAGAGAGTGACGCAATCTGTGCAAGAACTGTACCATGCAATAACTACAATTGAGCGTAATTTTGTTGTAGAAACAGAGTTGCCACTTACTGAGCTTGCGGGTTTGTCTGCTTTGCGAGAAATAGCTAAGCCATTGCTGGACCTTCACAAGGGTTTGATACAGGTGGAAGATCACATTTTTGAACCCAGAGAGAAACCAGTGCCAGACAGAGCAAGCATTCTTACCTTAGAGGTTATTGCAAAACCACTTCATGATCTTACTAGAGGTTTGTCTCAAGTGGAAAAGGCATTAGTGTTGGAACCAAGTTCAGAACATGCTCCAGGAAAAGTAGGTGTTTCTGCTCTTGAAACTTTAGCACTCCCATTGAAAGCACTACAGGAGGGCATTGTAGTGTTTCAGCATCAGACAGCTCTTGCAACTGAGACTACCACAGTATTTCAGGCATTAGACCAGCCATTCCATGATATGCAGAAAGCTTTGGCAGTTATTCAAAGACACGTTGTAATGGAGCCATTGGTAGAGCCACTAACTGAAAAGCCATATTTGCATGTTCTTCAGACAATTGCTCATTCCATTGAAGAAATCCATAGAGGCATAGCTCTTGGAGAGAAAGAGAACATTCTTGAAATACTACAGGAACCAGTGTCTGAGGAAACTGCTGCATCAGTTTTGGAAACCATTTTACATCCATTGAAGGAACTTCAGGAGAATCTTGCACATGTGCAGCATCAAGATTCACTGGAGGCCATGGCTGAACAAGAGAGCAGTGCATCAAAGCTTATGGCATTAGCTGTTCCTATACTGGAACTGCAGAGAGGACTTGAATTGATAGAAGAAAGTACCTTCCTAGAACCTGGTATAAAATCCATGACAGCTGTCGCAATTCTACAAGCTGTAGTAAAACCAATACATGAAATTCATACGGCCTTAGCTCAGACACAAGAGCAAGTTGTATTGGAGGCTCAAGGGATATCACTGTCTGATACATCACATATATCTCTTTTAAAGGCTCTTATCAATCCAATTCAGCAACTGCAGAAGAACTTGGCTGTGGTAGAGCATCAAACCATTTTTGAACCAAGTGAAGAACCACTGCCAACAAGATTGGATGTATCTGTGCTTCAGAAAATAGCACAGCCCTTAGAAGAACTACACATGAATTTAGTTCACGTTGAACAACAGATACTTCTCGAAGCAGGTGAGAGATCCTTGTCTGGAGAAGCTGGAGTATCTGTACTGGAAACCTTGGCACATCCTATACAAGAACTTGAGAAAGGCATAGCCTTTGTCCAGTATCAGGTTGCCCTGGAAGCTGGAGAGGTTGAAATGTCTGAAAAAACCTCTGTATCTGTGCTGAAAACACTGGCAAGGCCATTGCAAGAATTGCGGCAATGTTTGGTTCAGATAGAACAGCAAGTGGTGATGGAAGCCAGGGAAGAGCCACTGTCTGAAAAAGCAGAACTGTCTGTTCTTAAAACACTTGCACAGCCTATCGAAGAAATCCAAAAGAGTATTGCTATAATAGAACAGCAGGCAGTGTATGAGCCTAATGTGGAGGTCTTGTCAGAAGTAAAAGGTACGTCCATATTAAAGACCCTGGCACATCCATTACATGAACTGCAACAAAATTTGGTTCAAATTGAACAGCAAGTAGCGCTTGAAGCTAAAGTTCAACCTGTATCTGAAATAAGTCTGTCAGCATTAAAAGATTCGGCCCAGCCAATTTATGAAATCCAGAAATGCATCGCTCTAGTTCAACAACAAGCTGCATTGGAGCCCAGAGAAGAAGAAATGTCTGATCAAACCAACCTGTCATTGTTGCAGACATTAGCGCAACCTTTGGAAGAGCTGCAAAAGGGCATAGCAGAAATACAGCAGCAAGTTGTGCTTGAAACAATGGAAGAGGCAGTGTCAGAAAATGCTAGCATATCTATTTTGCAGGCTGTAGCCAAACCAATTCAACAACTCCTAACAGGCATTGCTCTGATACAAGAGCATGCAGTTTATGAAGGCGGAGTTGAATCCATAACAGACACAACTAGTGTGTCAGATTTGCAAACATTGGCACAGCCAGTACAAGAAGTGCTTAAAGCCATTGCTGTGGTACAACAACAAGCGTTTGTGGAGCACGGAGACATACTTTCAGAAAAGGAGGATATGTCACTTTTAAAGACACTTGCACAGCCTGTTGAAGAGTTGCACAGGGCCTTATTACAAGTGGAGCAACAAGTTACGCTTGAGTCTGGAGTAGAGAAGATACCAATGGAAAACTTTTCAGTTTTGAAAACATTAGCTCAGCCTATTCTTGAATTGCAACGAGGCATTGCTTTGGTAGAAAAACAGGCAGTTCTGGAATGTGCTGAAGGTTTAATTTCAGAAGAAGGAAATTTATCTTTGTTGAAAACACTAGCTGAGCCTCTACAAGAACTGCAAAAGGGTATTTTAATAATACAACAAGAATTGCTTGAAGGTCCTTTGTCTGATGAGGCTACCAACATTTCTGATTTGTCAACATTTGCGAGTACTGTCGATGCTTCTCAGGTTCTTGGGGTAATTCGTGTTGAGGAACAGCGAGCTTTGGAAGGTGACGTTGAAACTTTATCTGACAGGACTGACCCAAGAGAGCTGGAGTCAGCTGCATTTTTACAACAGGCGCTAAAGCAGGATATAGTCATTGTACATGAGCAGACAGCACTCGAAGGGAAAATATCTGAATTTACAACTGAATCAGCTGAATTGCAGGTAGCATTAATTAGTCATGAGACAGATCAGGGATCAGCAATTGTGACAGAAGGACATGTACTGGATGCAGAATTAGCAGCTGAAACTAAAGGAAAGGAAGCATCTGTAGACCTCCTTGGAGATTTAAGTGATAAAGAAGGTAAAACTAGAACTGATCTTAATGAAAGTACAAGAGCTGGCGATGTGAGCGTAGCTGAAGAGGAAGAAATTAGTGAGGAAGAAAATAAAAAAAGGCTTCAAATACAGGAGGTGGAGGTAGTTGGTCATAATATTAATGCAGAGGAAGAGACTACACTTGCAAAGAAGGAAATTAACTCATCTTATCTAGAGGAAGAACATGAAGGTAAAAGAGAAGAAAATGTAGTTGGTCCACAAAAAATGGGTATGGTAGATGAAGATGAAAGCAAGAAAGACAAAATGGGAAGCACAAAGCAACAAGAAGTTGAATACCAGAAAAGTTACCAAGAAACTAAAATAGAAGAAAAGCAGCTTGAAGGAACGGACAACAAGAATGAGGAACACGAAAATGTTAATCGCAAGAAAGGAGAACAGAATGAAGCAGAAGATCATAAGAGGAGACATCAAGAAGAAGCTGAACATATGAAGCCAGATAAAACAGAAAATGAGAGACAGAGGACAAAGGAAGAGGCTGAATGTACAAAGAAGGAAAAAGAAGGCAGTGAACAGACGAAAAAAGATGTAGTAGAAGATGAACATAAGGAGATACGAGATGAAGATGAAAGCAGGAAGAAGGAACAAGAAGTCGAACTTAAGAGAAAGGAACAAGAGGAAGCTGAACTAAAGAAGAAGGAAAAAGAGGAAGCTGAACGAAAGAAGAATGAACAAGAGGAAGCTGAACGAAAGCACAAAGAACAAGAGGAAGCTGAACTAAAGAAGAAAGAACAAGAAGAAGCCGAACGAAAGAAGAAGGAAAAAGAGGAAGCTGAACGAAAGAAGAA